AAGGTCAGAGCTGGATTTGAACCTGGGAACTTCCAGTCTGTGAGACATTTGGTTTTACCAGACAAGTGTTTTAACCCCTCTAGGTTCAGGGCACAGCTTGTTTATGTGACTCTACTGTCAATTGGGGTTTGTTTCTCAACTCCCTCGCTCCCTCCTCCTCTTATCTCACGTTTTTGAAGTCAAGTTTAACACTTAAAAAAAAATTAGCCTTTCAATTCAGAATCAGGACGCAACAAAATTGATAAAACACCAGTGTTTAACAAGCTGTGAAACTGTTCCATTTTCTGCATAGTTTAAAATGCAGCGATAGGGCTGTTGAAATGTATGCGTGTGTGCGTGTGTGTGTGTGTGTGGTGGGGGAGATTTAATGCTGCGAAATGCAGTCTTTGAGTGACCCCTCCGTAATAAAAAGAGTGCAAAAAGGCTCACGAAGTACAGAATCCAGAAGAACATCTAAAAGCACCCTTTGATTTTCCGCATCAGGTTGAAGCAGGCCTTCTGCCAATCCTGCGAACGCGACTTATCGCTCCGGCGAGTAAAGAAACTGATGGAAATGAATTTGCAAATGAGTAAATTTGGTTCCGACAACGGTCGGAACCCGTAACTGTTCCAAAGGCGTAGAAAAAAAGAATATAATATATATATATATATATATGCATAGAAAAATCCTCCCTGCCTGAAAGTTAGACCGAGGTACCAGAAAACTGCTCAAAACAACCCGAGCTAAGCAAAAAATGAGTTGTGCAAGGCTTTAGTTCCTGGCTGGAATGAGTCACAGGCAGAGAGGGCTGGTGTGTTGGCTGATGGCATGGTAACAGTGCAAATAGAGATTTTTCTTTTGCTTCTCCCCAGACACACACACACACACACACACAACCAGAGCATTCGAGCAGCAATCCTGTGCTCTCTCAGCTATCACGCTAACGCACTTGTCCAACATAACTCAGGACACTCATTCGGCCACCCTGCAGCATGGAAGGGGCAGGGTGCCAACTCGGGATAATAAGCCCCTTTTTAAATACGCCTTAGCAAAGGCATTCGGATTAACTTCATACAATAACCGGCTGTAATCTTCCACAAAAAAGTAGGGGGGGGGGGGGCGGGGGGGTGGGGGGAGGGGGAGGGTTAGAAAAAGTGCTGACAGATCCCACATTCACAATCACTGTCACAGTCTGTTAGTTGCTACGGACACCTTATATCTACAGTTTGTTGCCTTAATAACTGGTACGACCAAAAAAATAACAATCTTCACAGGGCCCGTTCTGGCTACGGAATATGGCACTGATTGCTGGCTTTCACAAAGCTGCTGCTTCTTTTGACAGTAATCCTTCCATTTGACACGGTGTCAAAAGCGTCTCAAAGCACTCGCACGGGCAACTGCTGTGGAGTGTAGTGACTGCGTGTGTGTTGGCAAACGCGGCAGCCAATTTGCGCGCAGCAAGGCCCCGCGAACAGCTGTGAAATGAATGACCCATTTATTCCTGGGGATTGTTGGCCAGAACGTCGGGAGAAACTCCCTTCTCTTTATGAAATGGGGACACGGGCGTCTTTAATATCCACCTGAACAAGCAGGCCAGACCTGGGTTTAGTGTCTCCTCCGAAGGATGGCACCTCCAACATTGCAACCCTCCCCGTCGTGGGCTGATCCAGGAATAGGATTAGAAGCGATTGTTAAGACTGTACTTGCTTGAGTGAAACTCATTTCTTCAGTCCCACATCAACACGGCAAGAAATCGCGCTCCAAATAAAACAGTTCTAAGTGAGGATCGGGTTACAAACAGGGAGTAAAGTTTTATGTGTTTTCTAATAGGGTGGCGTCTTATTTCACGTGTGTTGCAATGCACCAGAGTGTTCTTCCAACCACTGAATGAAGGTTCCTGTAACTGCAATTCATGAGGCAAGACTGACTCACTGTAACAGCAGTGTCTGCAAGAAACGCCCGTTGTGATGCGATAGTTCTGTTCGTCACTGACGATTCACCAGCTTCATACCTGGGATGAACTCAAGCTCACTCAGTTGAAAACACTTTCCGCTCCTTTAGATCAGACTTTAAACCGAGGTCCTGCCTGCCCGGTCAAGTGGACCTTATAAAGATCCCATAGCACGGTTCGAAACAAAGAAAAGAGTTTCTCCCGCTGTCCTGGGCAACAATCCCCCAAATAGAACGGTCACCACTTGACTTCACGGCTGTTTGTGGGATGTTGCTGTGTGCAAATTAGCTGCCGCGATCACTGCGCTAAAGTAATAATACAAATAATAACCCGTGAGTTTGATATCGCGCCTTATCACGTCGTTGACATGTCTCAAAGTGCATCAAAGGAAATACTGTAAAGTGGAGCGACTGTGTATTTGGTGGACGAATTGCGTCAGTCAATTGCGCACAGCGGTGTCCCACAAATGGCCGTGACAAAATTTTATTTGGTGGATTGTTGGCCAGGACACCGGGAGAAACTCCCTTCTCTTTTAGATTTGCGCCATGGGATCTTTTTAACAAAGGTGCAGTGTCTGTTATAAGATGCTGCAAAAATGAGACTTCTAAGTTTACTTCCAAAAATACAGTCACCCCACTTTAGTGTAAATAACGATAACAATAATCCTCGCATTCGATCACACATCGTTGAGACTTGTGGAGCACTTTGAGCTGTTGTCCCGACATGAAAGGCAGTATATCAAATGCAAGGATTATTATAATTATATTACCATTAATCCTTGCCTTTAACGCTGGAATTGCTATCAGTTTATATAGAGATCCATTGCCAGGAAAAGAGGCTATTTTCTGATTGCACAGTAAAAAACACATTAAAAAAACCAAAGCACGGAGAGCTTTAGTCAGCTCCGGCTAACCCATAGAACAGCACGTCCAGGGACCAGTTTGACACAGATTCCTTCATCCTTCTCTGAGACCTTCTTGGGCGGTCAGGTCATTCAATTCAACACCTCCTCAGTCAAACTGAGGCGCAAATGACTCTGGAGGATCCACATGTCTCTCTTGTGCTCACAACACTTCAAGCAAAACAAACGTTCGAGACGATTCTTTCCACACAAGCACCGTTCAACCACAAGTAAGCATCGTTTCGAATTATTATCAAGCGCAGAGGTTTCATTCTTCGCTGCAACCAGCCCTCGGTACCTTTAAATTAACCACAAAGCAACTGCTGGGAGATGAAAGTTGTTTATTTCCCATTGTTAAACCTGCAACGGTCTTGGGATGATTGTGGTAAAGCGAACGGACAGAGGGCCAACTAACTCGCAGCACAATCCACCCCAAGGCCTTCCCCGTATGTAGATGACATTAGCTGCTCGCTGGGTGAACACTCGCTGAGCCACATTCATGCTGTCAGCCTGGACTCGATTCAAACCAAAAGGAAAACGGAATGTTAACGCAATTCACCACTCAACACCCCCTCGATCCCCCCCCCACCACCCATTTTTTAAAAATATAAAAATAAAAATAAAAAAAAGAACTTGCGTTCTGGATGCATTCTTATTTATTTTGAAAATGTCTCACAGTTCTTTATGGAAATTAACGTGTTGACTGTGTTTGTTTGGCAAACGCAGCAGCCAATTTGTACACACTGACGTCCCGGAAACAACTTGTAAGCAAATACTACTACTACCAATAATAATCCTTGCGTTTGACACAGACGCCTTCGAGACGTCTCAAAGCGCTTCGCAGGATATACCAGAAAGAGAATTGACTGTATATTTTGCGGGAATTACTAATTTTATCTGGGAAAATGCTGGCCAGGACACTGGGAGAATCTCCCTTCTCTCTTTTTTTTGGAATAGTACCACTGGATCTTTAACCGGAACAGGGAGATGTCCTCAGTTAAACATCCCCTGCAAAGATGGCACCACTGCCAATTAGTGGACCACCCCCCACCACCCCCCCACACTCACTCCCCCAGGCAGGCACGGCAACTGGAGTGTGTCAAGCCTGGTTTATGAGCTCAAAGTCCCAACGCGGAGCTTGAACCCACAACTGCCTGACTCAGAGGCGAGTGATACCAACTGCCAGGCCGACACACAGTCATTGGATATGTGACACTGCCGCATGATTCGCGAGGAAGAATAATAAATATCGAGGCTGTTGAACTCGGAATAAATGGAGGAAAACTGTAGGCAAAGCTACATTGCGTGGCAGTCAATTGCCCGTCTCTCCCCCCCCCCAACCCCCACCGCCATTAATAACCGACTCATTTAAAAAGCAGCTGGACACAGAGATAGGGGGTAAGGGTGAGGGTGCTGGAGGGATGAGATCGGATGGGCTGAAAGGCCTTCTTCATCCCGGGTGATGTTGCAAAACTGCACAGTGTACTAAATCGAGTGGAGATGATCTGCTTTTTTTTCCCACACACACACACACACACACAATGTCACAGCTGTGAATAAACAGGGCCCTTCCCTGCTCGATTGCTTCAGTCACCCTCAACTGCCAAACGGAAGCTACGATTTCCTTTCTCTCTGAAGCCCTCCCTCCCCCCCCCCACCCCGTGTGATCAGTCTCGCTGACAAATTGAGTAATAACAGTAATAAACCTTGCGATTCATACAGCGCCTTATCACGCCTTCCGAGTCGTCTCAAAGCGCTTCGGACAACATACTGTAAAGTGAATTGACTGTATATTTCGTGGGCGAAACGCGGCAGCCAATTGCGCACAGCAACGACGACAGCTTGCACTTACATAGTGCCCTCCACGCAGAATAGCGTCTCAGAGCACTTAACAGTGGCGGAGCCTGACACCGAGCTGCGGGGGAGGGGGTAGGCGGCCGTAAGCACGGTTGAAGAAGAAAGTTTTCAGGCGGGACTTGAAAGAGGGGAGAGAGGGGGCAAGGCGGAGAGACTGAGGGAGAGTGTTCCTGCCGTATTACAGCTGAATAATCCTCGCATTTGTTGTAATAATAATAAGCCTCTCATGCGGGGGAGGACGTGTCAAAAGGTTTCACAGGATTTACTGTAAACCGCAGTCACTGTGTATTTTGCAGTCTTACTTGTCCTACCTTTCTCAACGTCTCGAAGCGATTGGTTTCCTTTCGAGCCAGTGCAGTAATCCAACAGGTTCTTCACATCACACACGCTTTTCACATCTGCGGCAAGAAAAGAGGAAGGAAATTGAATCAACCCCGAATAGCTACAAATAGCTTTAAGAAAACATATTCTAAAAGAATGCAGAGAGAATAAATCCCGACGAACCCTTTGTGAGAACGGCTAAAGACTCGAGTTTGTAATTTCATGCAACTACCTACATTTAAAATTCTTTCCCGTTTACACTAGCTGTTTGTTTTTTTCATCCAGCCAGCTGGAATCGTAGCCCAAGCAAACTCCTTACAGGACTTGGTAAACAACAAGCTTGGGAAGGTTATTCCGAGTGTCATTTATATCACAACTCACTCTGGTCAATGAACCTGTCCCATTTATTCTGGTGAGTGTAAACCATACAGTGTAGGTTGGACGGTGCGATCATAAATAATGTACAGACAAACGTGGGATGTGGTCAATCTCGGTTGAGGCAGGACTACGCAATCAGACTCCTGTTAAAAGTTAATCTCGACTGTCGCTTTCTGGGCTGATGATAAACTCGCGTTGGCAGAGCGAGGGTGCGAGAGATACAGAGAAAAACACGGTTGCAAAGCAAAAGCGGAGACTGTAACGCCACCTTGAGTGGAAGGAAAATCCGTGCCTTGTGATTAACACGTTTTCTCCCAAACTAAAGCACTTGTTGAGATCCAATGCCTTTAAGAGCTGCGTGAAGAGGTCTACAATATGGTCTAGAGCCCTTTAGAATAGCTTAATCCGAGTGTCAAGGGCTTCTATTATTGACCGAGAAAACATGCCTTTGACCTATTACCAAATTAATGGAGCAACGCAGGCTATAACCCTCTTAACAGCGTTTTGAATGACTAACGCTGAGAGGAAGTTTTGTCTCAGTTGAATGCCTTTTCAACATAAATGGTGCTCAAAGAGCCTTGGTGGGGTGGCAGGGAGGGGTGGTGGGGGGGGGAAGAGGGTAACAAGGCTTAAAACCAGTGGCAGAACAAAACCCAAACAACACAGTCTCGGTATTCAATAGAGCAAATGCCTCAAATGGATTACCTCGCTACATTGTCGGAGACTCCGTTCTTCAAATGAGACGTTAAACCAAAGTCCCGTCTGACTGGGCAGGTACACACTAAAGTTCCCATGGCACTATCCCTATACAAATGGGCCCCGAAATGGTCATTCGAGTCATGGGTGTTAGTGTGACATTGCTGTGCGCAAATTGCCTGCTGTGTTCACCTATAAACGCACAATCACGTCACTTTATAGCAGTTATAGACATTAGACGGTGTATAAAATGCAAGGATTCCGCACATTTCTTTTGAAAAAAAATCTATTTTCCTGCACCCGAAGTCATGCCGTGCACATTGTGGAACGCGAGCCAATTTGGAAGGAAAGAGGAGAGGATTTTCCAGATTAAAGTCTGGCAGATTTATTGCTGCCCAGTCATTTCAAAACAGTTGAATTGTTTGGCAGGGCCAGTGTTAGTCCTGCCTGTCAGATTCCGTTCAAGTCTACTTCTCGCAAGGCTAACATGGCAGCAAGCACGTTCGACCCGCTGCCTCGCTCGATCGGTCGCTCATAATCCCCCTGAATCCCTTTTCCGAAACCACTTTGAAGCCTGCCGGCATTGCTTTGCTCCGATCCCCAAAGCACAAGGACACTTTGTTAAGCGTCTGAATCCACTCCATTCAATTTCTGCTGGATCAGTGGTGGTTTGGGCTGCTGGCACTCACATGATCAGCCTTACACTGAGCGCGAAGATATCAACGCCTACATACAAAATTGTTAGGGTTACGTACTTATGAGTGGGCTACACTTGGCCATACTACAAGACCTCTTGATACACACGCACAAGCACAACTTGCATTTATACAGCGCCCTTAATTTCGGATGGCGTGCGAGAGCTTCACAAAGAAAAGGTAAAGAGGGAGGTGACTGTCGTCAGAGTCGAGAAAGTGGATTTTATGTCCCGATTTAAAAATAGAGAGGAGGCGAGACAGAAAGGTAAAGGGAGTTCCAAAGTTCAGGGACATAGTAGCCGAAGGCTTGGATTCATTATTATGATGATGATGATTATTATTATCAGGGTAATGCCCTCATTCCTATGTACCCGAGCGGAATGGAGCAAATTTCGATCATCCTGGAGTTCAGGAGTAACAAGTCAGTCAGGTTTTGTGTTCACAATTCTGACCTTTGTCAACCGCGAGCAGCTCCAGCTCATGTGGGTTTTGAAACGTCGCTTACGGCAGAAACTTTATCCTCTCGATAGCTTCAAGTGAAGCGAGCTTCAATTCCACCATGAGGTTACGTGATTGTGAAGGCCGACCTTTTGCCTTCATGAATTGTCTTAAAATCTATAATAATAATTGTTGCATTGATAATCGTTGCATTGATGCGCCTTTCACATCAGGAGGACGTCTCAAAGCGCTTTGCGGGATTTACTGTAAGGTGTAGTGATTGTGTGTTTTATAGGTGAATGCCTGCAGTGCACTATTCCTCGACTCAACCTCCCATTTATACTGACAAGCCCCAAACCCCTCATTTCTATTCCATTCCTCAGTACATTAGCTCTCTCCTGCAGGAGTGCGTGGGCAGCTCAGGGCCCCACGTGTTCAGCGTTTAACTAACGGAGCGGACAGTCAGTGTCATGACAGATCCCGTTCACGCTCCTCTGTTTCGCCTGTTGTGAGCTTGAGATCGAGGAAGCTGCTCATCTGTTCACATACACGTGGCTTTCCTTTCAGATTGTGGTTAAAGATAAACTTAGCACAGGTTCAGACGCAGCCAAAGTTAAAGTTAAGAACCAAAACTTGGACATTTTGGTCCCGAGTTATTACCCCGCATTCAAGGGGATGTCCCTATATGTTCAAGAGTTTTCAGAGGTTAATCCACATACATACTGTGTATTCAGCGTGGGTATTCATGTGAATAGACACAGCAAAAGCCAATGTCCTGAACCAGATAAGGCCTCAATCACCAGCTTTTCATTAATGCTACTTTTGAAGATCTTCAAATAGCAGCTTCTGGTCGGGCTCCCTACTCCGAGACGATCATTTTTTTCCATCTGAAAAGTAGCCGAGGTCTCTTCTGGCCTGTACTTTGGCCACGTGCAATAACTCAATCATTTTAAGTAATTGAATGGATTAAATTCGAAATAACCTAAATAATTTTGATCCCAACCCTCAAAGACAAGAGTGTTATCAGCTGAGCCAGGCCGACACCCGACACCCAACCAGATGTGTGATAATCAAGGTTATAAAATAATGTAATTGCCATCTACTGATGCTGATAAGGTTACAGTGTGAATCCCAACCTGCCTGGATGGCTGGTCTGTACATGTTGAACTCGGGATAATAATCCTTTCAGTTCATCTGTTACACTTTAGCAGGAATTCCAGCTGATGAAAACTGGATCGCCTGTGCGACACTGCCTCGCACAAAGCCATCATTTTACAGTTCATGAAGGCTAAAGCAAGCAAAACCTCAACGCTTAAGTCAATTGGGCTGAACGTTTTCACTGCGACTCGTGATATAAAATAACAGAGTTAGTTAATGCTTTGGACATGACTTGGGAGTTTGGCGGGGCTGCAGGGAACATCGGAATCATGCTTCAGCAAACCAATTCCAATTTAAAATGGGTAGAGGTGCCATTTAAAGGAACTCGAAAACAATTATTTACGGCGGCAGCTGACACAGCACACTGAGCGGTGCACTTGCTGGGTTTGAAAAGGCTTTTCAACCCAGTCAACAGTAAGCATTACAAGCTCAAACAAGTACAGAAGGCCACACACGCTTTGCAGTTAAGCGCTCCGAGACACCGTCCGGTGTGATGGGAGCTATATAAATTCAAGTTGCTGTTGTTGTTGTGTGTAACCTAGTGGCATAACGCACCGAGCATCATCGCAATGGATTTTAACAAGGAATTCGAGGTTTGGAGCAAGAAAATAGGGAGAAATTATCTCCACAGGTTGGTGGGTCAGTAATAAAGAGGCACAGATTTAAGGCTATAATAAAAAAAAGCATAGGAGAGGTTAGGAGAAATGTTTTACATACAACACACAACACCATACACTACACACACACACACACATACACATCACACAGACCCACACCACACAGACCCACACCACACAGACACATGCCACATGCCGCACGGGTTGTTGAAACATGACCTTAACTGAATCAATATTAGATTTCAAGAGGGAATTAGATAAATACCTGAAAGGGATGAAGGAAAAAGGCCAGAAAATGAGATGAAACAGACAGATCCTTCAACAACAACGATGACAAACTACATTTGTAAAGCGCCTTTCACATCAGGAGGACGTCCCAAGGTGCTGGACGGGCAGGGATCAGAAAGCCTGCATGGGGGCAATGGACCAAATGGCCTCCTTCTGCGCTGTACACGTCGATTGGTTCTACGGCTGCGGTATGGAGAAAGTGTACAACCTTCCAAAGGATAACACAAGATCTGCCAATCTTCACTGATACAAGACAATGCTTTCAGGAGAAGGAACACTGGCATGTTCGGAATCAGCTCTCACAGAGATATATCTATATTTTATGCATACAAAAAATCTCGATTTTAAACTGAAGCAGCAGAAGCATGAGACGACATTAATACAATGACAATCCTCGCTTTTGACACAGAGCCTAAAAACGTCGCAGGATCTCAAAGCGTGTCTGGGAAATTTCCATGCGTGGGTGGCATGCATATGTGGAACGCTCATTCTGGATCAGACAAACAACTTTAAGCACAGCGATAGGTTTCTGCCCGAGTCGCAACCCTCGCTGACCAGAAAAAAAAAGGGCTTCACGGCCAACTGCTGTCAAATGTAGTGACTGCAATCTCCTGGGTGTTATGTATTCAAGATTAAGGACACAGATTTAAGATATTCGTCAAACGAAACCGAGGGGAGGTGAGGAGACATTTTAATCACACAGCGAGTTGTTCGGATCTGGAATGCATTGCCTGAAAGGCTGATGGCAGCAGATTTGATAGCAACTTTCAAAAGAGAAGTGGATAGATATTTGTGGAGGACAAGTTT